CCGCTGCTCATACAGCCCTGTCTGTACCACAGTTCTTGACCAAAAATGGTATGACCCCTGTTCCTCACCCTCCATACTCACCCGACCTGGCCCCGTGCGACTTTTTTTTGTTTCCTCGAATGAAAAGAGACATAAAAGGAAAGCGTTTTGCTGATGTTGCTGAGGTGAAGAAAAAAACGACGGAGGCGCTGTGAAGCATCTCAAAAGATGAATTTAGACAATGTTTTGAAAAATGGAATAAAAGACTAGACAAGTGTATTAGTGTAAGTGGAGAGTACTTTGAAGGGGATTGAAGGTTTGTGCTTAAAATTTGAATAAATAAATTTAAAGAAAAATAAGTTTGGTTTCTTTTGGGTACCCCCTCGTACATGTCACAGTGTTCCTTGTCACACAAAACACTTACTCATACTTGTTTGTGAATGGTGGTGAGGCAGCATACTTAAGGCTGGGTGAGAACAAAAGCTGCGAACCATCCGAGTCATCTTCTTTTGACTTGTCCCTCCAACTAGCACTGCGCTCCAAACCCAATTCACCTGAAAAACAAAACATTCACCAATTCATTCACTTCTATAACATTTTATGATTTGGTGTTGGCATTAATTCCTTCATCTAAGTTCTGATGTAGGTTCCTAAAACAACTTAACACTTTCCGTACTACTGACTTATGTGAATGGATAGTAATAGGATACTGAGGAACTCAACACAAAAGGAAAGGCAGTGACAAGGAACTACAGCACATGGCTTGCCTGGGAGCAGCAGCTGCCCATGGTCCAGGACAGTCCTGATATCTGCCAAGGGCGCCCCTGAGAATGCAACGTGCCACTTGTCAGCAGCTGAGTCAGGGTCTGGTGTCCCAGGTGGGCGGCGCAGTGCAAAGCGGCACCACCCTGATGGTACAGGCTCTCCCTTTTGGTGCATGACACCACCACTCCGCAATTTCTGGCAGCACTCACAGTAACAAATGCCCCCTCCAACACCAGAATCTATGTAGCTGAAGAAGCCATCTGGAACAACACATTCTCACCATTGTTAACTGACAAATATAAATAAACTGAGAGGAAAAAAAAGAATAACAATTAAATATATGGCAGTTCTTTGAATACTAGTGGCATAAAAACTGATTTACCATTGTCACAAAATGTGTGGAGTCTAATAACATTCCAGCACTTACTAGAATCAGAAATCTTTGGCTGTCAATTCTCACTTATCATACACACTACCTTAACATGAGCTCCAAGATTTTCAATGGTAAATCAGCATTACAAATTTCATGCTTCTGCACCAAGTGCTGCTACTGTTCTTCTTACTGTTAAGCAGTTGCTATTTTAATGTTGTTTAGAGAGGAATTTAGAAGACATGGGTGTCAAAAACACTCACATGTTCATGACTTAACATGGTGTTTGGATTGGCAATTGGATTTACTGAATGCTTAGAGCTACAAATAACCATTAGAGTCTCACTAATATTACACACTACTGCGAACACTAAGTCTTCACTGTCTTCACTAATTGTTGCCTGGTAGCAGCATCTTAGAGTGCATGAGACTGTGGACTGGTAAGTGCCAACTTACGACTGACTTTTCACATTTGTCCTCACTATATAGTCTCAGCAAAGACTGCACAAAATGTACCACTTCCAAGAATTCCTCCATTGTTGAGTGATGTGTTAAGTGGGCTGTTGTCTAGCAATGGCCTGGGTACTGTTGGATGTAGGAGCACATTTTGGTTGCTGTGGAAATGTGTTTACAGACAGTTGCCTAGCAATGGATAACTTTTCTGGGTCTGCTCTTCTGGCTTTTAGCCATCATGTCACAGTATGTTTAAGATCACAACCTTCCAAGAAGTGAAGCCATACACCCAAGGAAGAGCCTAAAGATGGAGGCAGGAGGCTCCTCTGATACACTGGTACCCACCCACCAAACTACATGGTGTCACATACCGGAATATTAACCATAGCGATAACCACACATCTCAGCCTATCTTTGATATTTAGTTTCGTAAAAAGAGGTCACATAGGTAAACTGTTCTTGGGAGGGGAGGTGTTCTGTGTGGGGCTGTTTTCATTTTGGAAGGTGGCTCAGCACAAGTAACTGATTTGTCTTAGCAGTTCACAATTATTCAGCCAATCAAGGAATTTGAGACTGGAGATTCTCACACTGTTGCCTACAAACATTACTGTCTTTTGGCATGTCCCACCAACGCTTCACAGAAACCTAACCTTCACAGTCATGAAGACCCTACCGCTGTGAAATCCCAGAAGCCTGCCATTTTACTACAGCTTCAGCTAGCTCTATCACTTCACTTACTCACAATTGCTTTCGTGAGGATCTATCTCAATATGCTTTTTTCTCGCATGCCCCCAGATGTGGTCTGTTTGACCTTCCTCGCGTCTGCCCACCTACGTAGGGGCACAGAATCCTCTGAGTGGGCACCCATAAGCCTAACAAGAGGGTGACAGGGGACCTACAGCTTAATATGGGCTGAGAACCACAGGGAAGGTCTCATATTGTTCACATTCTCAAAGTTTCATCTGCGTTAGAACTGAAGGTTTCAAGGTGTGCACAGACTAACCTGCACACAGACATCACTGGGCATCAGACTCAGAACCCTCTGAAGGAAGACCAGCAGGTCCACTTATCTATTTTCATGTGATCCTCCTATCTGACTACTGGTTTCTTTTCTTTACAACTTGCAAACAAAATCATACATGCACTTGTTTTCTTAATGCATGCTACATGCTCATCCTCACCTGGCAATCCGAGTACATTCTTGAACCGCACACACGCATTCAGATATTCACAGTTTTTCAAAGCAACCATTGGTGTGGCGGACAATGGGGACGTTGGTGTTGTTCCACTAGCCATTAACTGAGCTGACACAGCACTAGGTGTCAGAATGTGCGTTGATGGAGTGTTCGTAATTGAAACTGCTTCCACATTAGAGTCCGTGAGATTCGTATCTGAGCCTACGTTTGCCGTAACATTAGGAACTATGTTCATTGCATTTGAAACAACAGAGAGAGGTAGAGATACTGCAGAGCTTGAGATTGGCATGTTTAGAGACTTGCTGGCAACAACTGGGGAACTGCTGGACATGATCTCAGTGGTGCCATGGTTCTCACCACCGACACAGCTCGTCAACAGCTCCGACAGCTTCTCCTTCTCATCGCACTCGAGATCTGCTTTCTCACTCAGGGACTCTGATTCCAGCTGTATCCGATCCTGAGTCTCTTCCATGGCTGATGTTGACTCAACAGTGCTCAGCAATGATGAGGCCTGAATGGAACTCACTGATGAGCCAACGATCGTCACCTTGTAACATGAAATGTATTATTACAGTTTACCCTGTCCAATCTGATCCGGTCATAAAGATCAAATTAAAAAATTAAGCCACAGAACAAAAGCCCTCTTCCTGTAAGGCATTAAAGAACAGGCACCAAGGAAAGACGTCAGTGCTGAGCACCAAACACAGCAAACTGCACTGCACTGCAGCCCCATATCCTCTTAACATATGAACTAATGCAATGTAAAAACAGCCAGATCAGGTCACATGATCATGACCTAGCAGGGCCTCTTACACGCACCACATGACCTACCATTTGAGTGCAGAAATTAATAAAAACGGCAGTCAAGACAGTTATTGTGAGGGGGGGGGACTACTGAAACAGGTACATGCTTCACCTCAAATGCAGCATTTGGCTGGTATCACAGTGAACAAGTTGACTTCTATCTTTATGAAAGATTTATGAAAGCCATTCTAGCAAATACTGTCATTTTGTTTTTCCAAAATTCGAAGTTTTTAGCCATTAGTTCTGTTTCAAGTGCTGCATGCAACTGTCATCACTACAGTTAGTTCAATGCAAGGATAAGCAGGACTGGTGAAGTGATGGGATTTGGAAAGAAGACATGTCCTAACCGAAGGTACTATGGGTATAAGCATGGCAATGGGAAAAGCACATGAGACCTCCCCACAGGTCCACCCAGTTAATCAGAATGTTGATTGCCCCCACCTCTTCACACTGCCCATATATGTCCACGACTGCATAGCAAACAGCAGGGAGGTCACACGCAGCCACACCCTGGTCCACTCCATTCACATAGAGGTGGAGTCGTGATTCACTGTCCACCAGTATGCCCACCAAATGGCAGGACTGCAGGCTGTCCAAGTTGAGTCCATAGCCTCCTCTCACCTGTAGAGCAACAACAGTGCATAATATACCAGTGCACCAGGACTCAGGTCACTGCTGCTTTATTCAATGACATTTTGAAAACTGCTTGGGGTGTCTCAAACAGAAATGGTACATACTGTATATCATCTATGAGACCGCATCATCATCAGGCAGTGGCGGAGTTTGTTTCACCATCATTGGAAATCACTAGATTCTACTTTCAACATACAATGGATATGAAAACTGCCATACCAGAGACCTCAAACACACAGGAATTTCATTCCATGAAACTGCCTTCTACACATGACACAAGCTCATAGATGTTAGATGAACTTGGGGAAACTTAAGATACTTTTTGACAGTGCTTGATCCACAGTCAAACAACAAGATTCCTTGTTAGCTACTCTGCTCAAACAGCAGTAACACATTTCAGACATTTTTAAGTTTCAACTTAGATTCTGTCAGTAATTCATCTCATAACCAACAGATGGCTGGCTAATTATGCTTTTCTGCACTCTTTGCTAACCTAAGAATGCATTTTATTTACCAATATACATAAAAAATAATTTAAAATTAAGACATTCTCTGCTAACCACACATGCTGTCATTTAAGTGTACCTGAAAGGGCAGGCTGCATTTGATTTAAAAATGTCTTCCACAAGATAACCAATAGATGGAAGCAAAGTTGCAGATACTGCTTGGTTTGACCAATGTCAGTAACTGTGATTAGTGCTATCCATTGGCACAAACAGTTCTGATGCTCTAAGACTGTGACTAGTTCTAAACTCCTGAAGACATAAACAAAAGAGAAGTGTAAAAACTAAAGTCACCTACAGCCAAGAAACTGACATCTTATATATTAACAGCCCACCACTGCATCCTGAGCCAGCTCAAATCAATTCATATCTCCTAGATCTGTTGTAATATTATCGTCTCATCTACACCTGTAAGTCCAAAGGAATTTCTTCCCATTAGGTCTGTCAAACTAAATGCTATATATAATTTTTTACTTCTACTGCATGTCCAACCAATCTCATTCTCCTTCATTTAATAACCCTAAAAATATTAGGCAGAAGTACATACAAACTGTGAAGCTCTTCAATACATAATTTTCTCAAATCCTCCATCACTCTCACTTTCTAAGCTCTCAACAGTTCCCTCAGGATGCAAGCAGAGCTACGGCCACATGCTGCTCACCTTTACGCCATTAACGAACACAGAGTCACTGCAGATGATCCATGAGTTTTTCTTGAAACCAAGAGCAGTTAGGGGGAAGTGCATCTTTTCGGGGGACTGACATGTCACACCACACATGAGCGATGACATCCAACGAGAATTCAGCAAGTCTATTCGTACCTGTACATCAGATAAATCATTCAGGCTTGATCAAAAGTGTGTATGGATGTTTCAGAAAGATCAAACTGACATGAAGGCTGCTGTCCACTACCTTGCAAAGCAAATTAAGATTCAGTCAGCAAGCTGCTACCCACCCTGTGTCTTAAGCAAACTGCTGAGGAGTGACTGAACTAATGGCTGGAGGACCAGAGCTTCATTCCTGAGTGAACAGAGATTTTTCTCTTTGCTTCTGTGTCCAGATCCACTGCGGGGTCCAAACAGCCCATCTGATACAGAACAGGGCCTCTTTGTCAGGGTTAAGTGGTGAGAATGAGCACTTACCTCCATCAGTTACCAAGTTTAAGAACACCTGGAGCTACAATGCCACTTCCCCATACACCTACATGGTGTGACGCTTCAATAAGCACTGAGTAAGCCTTACGTTTACAAACTAATGAGTAACACAGAGTATGATTAGGGAATGATTATGAACAGTGAAATGAGCACATGTCCACTGGGACGCTAACGTCAAGCTAGGCAGTCAGCATAGCTGTGATTCTACTATACTCTCAATAAAAGCAGTCAGGACAGCTACTGTACCACCGTACTGCCATCAAACACAGTCAGACAGGTACCATATTAATATGTTGCTAGTAAACATGCCCGCTCTATCACCTGGAACAGTTGCTCCCTTGGCAGAGGTTTGCTGGAAATAACAACGCCCTGGTTATAGCTTGCCGTTCGCTTGGCTGTCCTGCGGCCCTCTCCCAGCTGCACATTGCGCCCATGGTTCTCGTGGAACTCCAAGACAACAGGATGAACAGCAGGTTCGGCTGATGCCTGGTTTGGCACACCTGTGGCATTACCCACTGCAGTTCCTGAGACAGGGAGCAAGGACGAGGGGTCCTCAAGCCTGCCTTCACAAGACTTGGAATGACTCATCTCAGTGCCATTCTCTTCTGCAGCGCTGAGCTCCCTAGTGAACATAATATAAAGTCAGATGGCTGAACTGTCCTTTGGACAGAAATGTTTAAGTCATTCCATGAAACTCACGGGTGCACATTCTCTGAAGAGAGCTACAAGTGCGTCCCACTTACGGGAGTCGAGCAGAGTGCAGAGTGGGGCTTGTTGTATCTAGAAGCATTTCCAATGAGTCATGCAGCTTGCTGGAACGAAGTGACTCGCCCATAGTTCCAGCTGCAACTACCTCTCCTTCCTCCACTTCGGTGGGGGAGCCTGCAGCTCCGGGGTCCTGACTAGACCTCACACTGGTGACAGCCACACTCTGGGTGTTCCCGTACAGGTCCACGACTGCAAACACTCGCTGCAGAGGACAAGCAATGAGACACTGACTCAAAGAACAGTAAGAAAATAAACTAGGCCCCTGAGCAGTCCCCCACCTTGGGCAAGTTGGTAGCTGCTACCCCCATGTCCTCCCCATTGATGAGAAAGTGCAAGCTGCCATCTGCATCACGCCGCACTCCAACGCGGTTTCCTACTACCAGCCACTCCAGACTTGGACAGTAGTTGACTTTCAGAGTGGTTGAATTTCGACGCACCTCATTGCCTAGAAACATAAAGCTAAAGATTTAGCACACAACTACAGCAGCTCTCAAAACACAAGAGTGTGATACAGAAATCCAGAACTCGCACTCCATAACCAATATTGCACCTGTCATCAAAACCAACATAAACCTCTCCCTAATACACATCATAATATTTCACTCCTTTCAATGCCAACTGAGCTTCTTCTTTGAGGAAAACGACAATAAAAATTACATTCATTTCCTGTTCATCTTTTATGTTCTATTTACACTGTACATCTCAAAGTCCTCGACATAATCACCCTATCAACATAAGGTGAAGAGCACAAATTATACACTTAGACATCACACCATTATCTTCAGTCATTTGTTGATCCAAATTATGTGTTCAAATGAAGACAGTGCTTCTTCAGTTACAGGGTTAACACTTCCCTGTTCTGTCACAAGGCTTCGAAAACTGAAGCCTTCCCAGACAGCTCCACTCTCATCGCTCACAAATCTATCACTTTACGGTTATTCCACCAACTGCTCAATATTATCCTCTGACTGATGCTACATAGTTTTCATGCTGACACAATCATTAAATAAACAACCAAAAAAAAAAGTCAGTGCTGAATGTTCTATCTTTGTTCTTTATGTTTCTGGACAGCTCAGGAATGACACAGATGGCAGTAGTTTTGTGCTCTCTCACACCAAAACATGCTCTTTCTTTTTTTTTTAAATCTGAGCAAATTAATTTGTAGCTGGAAGAAATGAGACTGGAAATAAATACAACGGGAAAGAGTTAATAACAAGAATATTATTTTAACCAGACTAGTCACCATTTTACTCGCTCATAAACATGTTATTCTACAGTACAGCCCAACCCCTAACTTCGGGGAACCACTTCACGTACCTGTAATATACCATGTGTCAGCTGTGAGGCCAGAGACTGTGGGAGGAAGACTGCCAGCAGGGTATACATCAGAGATCTGCAATGATGTCACTCCAATATGCAGCGTGCCAGCCCACTGCGGGGCCACCTCCTGGATGCACACCTCAAATGTCTCATCTGGCTCCACAGCAGTATTGCTGAACACCAACGCATGCGCATAGTTGCGCACTCGAGTAGCAACGGTGTTGCCAGAGCGCAGTATCACATTCTTTCCACAGGACACACTAAACCTACAAGCGAAGAGGCACAGCCGTGAGACTGAAGAGCTCATATGCAGTTTGGAGGATTCAGTATCTGCTGTGAATCGGTTGAGAAAATGGAAGGTCTGTCTACCAGAAAACTGACTCCATCGAGCAGAGTCCTTCACTAAGAACTGACAGTGGTTTGGCTGGACAACAAATATATTCATTGCTTTTTAAGGTGATTCAAAGGTCACAATTATCATGTTCACAAAGTCCAAACCATCACACTTTCATCCCCCAATCCACACACTTACGTCTTCAGGTGCACCATACTACGCATTACATTGCAGTTCACAAGCCCTGTTAAAGGTACAAGGCATACCTGTGGGTAGTTTCAGAGTTTGGGTGACTGTTTGTGTTTGCTTGCTGATAATGCTGCAAACTGAGTGGCTGAGAGCTGTTTTCACTAACAGCACCAACAGCAAGGGCCGTGTTTTCCCTTCCACGATCCGGTGGGATGATGGACACCTGCGCACACTGCCCATACAGGTCTACGACAGCATAAACGTGCAGGGGGACTCCATCGCAGGCTGCACCCTGGTCAAGGCCATCCACGTAGTAATGCAGTGACTCATCCTCATGCCGCATCATACCTGGACAACCAACACAGGGTGAGCTAGTTGCCAGTAAACGTTACAAGAAAATTAAGAACACATACAGTGGGAAGTACAAAACATTAAAACGGAAAGAATGGAAAACTAACATTAAAATGAGTACAGCCTTCTGCGTTTTGACACCATGAAGTCTGGTGGAGGGGTACTGATGATTCAGAGTTCCAGACCTCTAGCCTGAAGACTGAGACAGCAGGTTCCTATTTGCTGCTAACTATTCAGCTGACTGCTACACAGTGTTTATCCCAGACAACTGTAATCTTAATATTCTAAGCTATGAGGACCCCAAATCTTAAAATGATTACAACGGTTTCTCAATATCTAGAGGTAGTGAACAACTGTGAGAAGGATATTTGTATTTACAAAAAATGAACAAAGACCGGAGAAAATTACATGACGACAACCTTCATACTCGTATTCTTCTCCCAATATTGGCATTAAACTATGAATTGCATTGCAGGAGATGTAGCATGAATGAGGGAAATAAAAATACATACATTTTGATCAGAAACCTTAAACGCCCTAAGTGAGAAGCTGCTGGTTGCACTCTGTTGTCTCAGAATGACGTCCAGTGATGGACTATGTGAACATGGTACCGAAATTTAGGTTTCCATAGGAGCAGCAAATTTCTTGGCCAACTGAATAATTAACTGTTCAAAAAGGTTACATACCATACAGTTAATGCATAAGGGAAGATGACAATTTTCAGAGTGGTCACAGAAGCAGGCAACAGGGTGGAGAACAGCATATCCAGCACGTCTCTCTCCATAGAGTGAGGACCCAGGATCCACAGAAACATTCAATCATTATGTCAAAACTAAATCATTTGCTTTAACATTTAGAACAAATCAGGACTGTGTCTCTGGGCAATACCGTATTTACGCATGTATAGGCCGCATGCGTGTATACGCCGCAGCACAATTTTCAGACAGAAATTATAGAAAAAATAATTTTCTTGGAATATTATTTCAGGAGTATTACACCCTGTATTACTAATTATGAATATAATTTTTTTTAAATAACGTGTGATTTCGAATATTTCGAATATAAGCCGCACCCCAGTTTTCTTCTTGAATTTTTGGCAAAAAATGTGCGGCCTATACATGCGTAAATACGGTATTTTAACCTGGAACTTGCCAAATATGAAGCAAGAACACCATTCACTTGACAACATTTGGTACTTTGAAACGTAAAAAAGTAAAGAAAGTAAAGGTATCCCTGTAACAGGCCATGGAGGCCCATAGGGTTGTGAGATGTTGAGGTTCCCACATTTTCTAGACAATCGGCTCATAGATGGTGGCAAGGCTGTCAGCCCTACGTGCCAGCCGCCCTTTACCCCCCAAGAATATTCCAAGAATATTCTGGTACTCATTTCTGTCAGAGGCTGAGTCGATTGAAAAAAATCCAATGACCTCATCGGGACTTGAAACCGCGACCTTCTGGCTTTAGCATAGTGCCTCAACCAACTACACTGTGTTCAATGGGTGTACTTTGAAATGAACAAACAAAATGTATACGCAACACAGTTATAGATCAACGTTGTAATATAAACTGTTGCCAAGCATGAAGAAGCGGAATCCAATTGGAATATAGTTCTTAAGGAGCACAACAGAAAGTGCATTCATAAATGTCTGTCTGTAGTAGAAACAGACTGCACCATCTGCTGGAAAACTATTAAAAGGTGCCAAACATCAAAAAGCGAGCCCTTACCAATACGTGTACCAGTTGTCAGTGTGTCAAGGTCACATCTGTAACCATTCCGTAATGTGACACCATCTTGCAAGACAGATGATCCTGACAGCATCCAGGTGTCATGGTTGATATCTGTCATGGTGCTTGGGAAATCCAGATCTTCAGGTCGGATTGCAGTTACCCCTAAACAGAAATTAACTAATGAATTCTAAGGTACAGGGTTTTCTGTTAGTCATCACTTAAGAATCCCATCTTCTGGGATGTGAGGTCATGCACTCTGGTAGATGGGTAACGGTGTCAGGAGGAACCCACTGCCTCCGTCCCACAAGAGACAGAAGTTGAAGGCAAGTTCTTCCTCAGTACCAGACTACATGGCATCACATCACAGAATACCATAACCTTATTTCACCAGAATCAGCACCTCAGGAAATTCTTTACTTTTATGGAACAATCAGCATCATCACAAAAGCCTATCACTGAGCCAACTCTATCCACTTCACTCTCAACTTCTCTAACATCCATTTTAATATTATCCCTCTGTTTATACCAAGGTTTCAGTAGTGTTCTCTTAACTTAAGGTTTTACAACCAACTGGTTCTGGCATACATGCTACTTGTCCTTGAATTCATCACTCTCACAATATCAGGTATACGAGTACCTTGTTATTATGAATACTACACGAGCCATGTCCTGCTTCATCCGTGTGTTGAGAAGATAACGGCACTGTGGATACAGCACTGCAGTATTTCATTAAACATACCAATGCCATGGAGCAGTGTTTTTACACACAAGATTCTGTGTGCTCAGCACATCAAGAAAATACCCACCTTCACGTAACCAAAAATTTCACTATTATGTCCATAATAGATTACCACTGAACCCTATCCAAAGCCAGAAGAATCCACTCCACACCCTAGCCACCTGACTGCAAACCACATTTAAAAGTATTTCAAATAAACGTTGTATCTCCATTTTGTATTACACAGCAATATTTGTGATACAAAACATTTCTTGATAAAATTCAAGCTTTAGGTGTTCATGCAAGATGCAAAGGGTCAGGCCCTCAAAACCCTGCCCTTCTTGCAGAGGCCTGGCACTAGTGTTCTTTAACTTTCACAGAGATTAGTACAGCAATAACTTCAGAAGGTTGCTGACAACTGGCATACCAGTCCTGCATTATCAGTTTCTTCAAAACCTGAAAATCAATTCCTGCAGTACAGTGCAGGACAAGAGAAAATGTATGCTTTCTCTAACCCAAAAGCTTCTGCCTGGTGCACATGCAGTCACCAGTGAATCATTTATGACCATGAAGGGTTGTGACAGATAAGATGCAAGAATGCTTTTCACCTTCAATGGAGAAGAAATTGTGAACACAGGAAAATGCGGCAGAAAAACAAAATAACAAATTCCGAAGCCAAAATGTATTGTGGACTACAACAGTAAAACGGACTGATATGCTGCTCAGCTGTGTTCAGTGTATTCATACGTCTGTCAAATGATACAAAACGCACTCCACATTCTTGATGTAATATTGCTCGGTGCACACCCTGCAATCTCATGCAGAATGAGAGAAACGTGCCATTTCCAGATTTTCAAATGAGAGTCATCAGAGCGCTTCTAGAAAAAGGAAGAAAGAAGAATCTCTTCCAGGGGTGCATGGTTTTCAGTTCCTCAGTGTGTGACAGACCATCACTTTGTAGATAACATGCCTAGCGCTCCTTGCCAAATGAATGCAATAACGAAGTGTCATGTGCATGCACCATCTGTCATAGACCCTTGCAACGGGAAACAGCCAATGCAAGTGCAGCAAATGTGATGTCAGACTGCATGCAGTTTTCTGCTTCAAGCACTTCCACACTATGGGGGGGGATATGTAAATGGTGTACAGTCTTCTGGGTAGTAATACCATGAGTTAAGCTGCCTCCGTAGTCTAGGGGTAACGTTCCCACCTCATGACTCAAGGTAGGCGGGTTCAAACCCGGCGGAGGTTGTGGAATTTTTAAGGGCGAAAAAATTCAGGGAACAAGTCCTCTGGGAGGGACTTTAAGCCGTGGGTCCCGTGTTGTAGATTTCCGGCACGTAAAAGAACCTCATGTCTCTAGGAGACCTCTGAGCTAAATCTGGCAAAAAGTTTCTGCCCAAAGTAGTTTCCAATGCCTCCGGTAGATGGGGAAGTATTAGGTACCACTGCCAGAGGAGGGGGGACCTCTCTGACAGAAAGGGACTATTAGATACCACTGCCAGTAGAAGGTTGGAACCTCGCTGGCAGAAAGGGGCTAATAGTGAGCACAGTACCGGTAGGGTATGGAGACAGTAGAAATTAAAAAGGGGGACGCACAATGGACCAATAACTGGTCTAAGTTCATGGGGAAACCCACCCCCTCTATACTCAATACCATGAGTTTGGTACGATGCCACCCATGATTTGGAGCAACAACACTTGAATTACTTCTTGATCCCAAAGTGGAGATCGTAAGTTCCTACAAAATGTGAGTAGACTTCTACAGAACAAGACAGCATTACAGTCCAGATCACACTCTTCACAGTCAATATCATAAGACTCTAAACTACAACACAGCGCTTATTTCGCTGCTTTGAGCAGTGAACTCCAGCTGGGCAGTCTTCTGGCAATACTTCTCTAAAAAATCTATTCCAGCAGCTTGAATATCTAACTTTATTAAACTGACTGACTGTTCCTAGCCTGTGGGTGAATTGCTGTCCACTGACTGTCCAAAGTGACTGAGTGATTCACATTATTAGATGCTGTGAAACCTCTGTGACAATCACATTGGTGTAAGCTTTCTATCAACAGTAGTGGCGACAGCTTCAAAGTGACCTTCAATCCTGCCAACAAATATTAGCATGGAAGTGAGACTAAAGACAGACCAGATGCACCCACAGCACAACGATTCAGAACAGTCGTTGCACAGTTCGAACAAAGTCTGCGTTACACTTCAAACCATATTCCTCATATTTTATGTAATATTTTTGGTTCAGAAATAAAAATTGTGGCATTATCTCAGAAAATATTGAAGTGCATCCACAGAAAAATGATGGGATTACCATGTAATGTTCGGTGGGAAACAGGATAAAATGAACGTAGGGAGAGTGACTGATGCTTTCTCATCTACTTCTTGTTTTACAAATTCTTGGTTATCCACTATGGCAGTATTAATCAGCACTCTTGGAAAACGTAAGCTCTCACCTGCTTCAATTGATCCAGACCAGCGGTCCACCATCTTTTCAATCACAACTTCAAACATCTCCCCCTCTCGCAGGGCTCGGTTACTTATCACAATCGCATCGTTGAACTCCCAGAATGCACGTGGTCGTGATGCTGTCAGTCCATTGTTTGAAACACGTGCATTTTTGCCATGTACATGATGAAATCTAAGGTCACTGCAACATAACAGAAGCTACATTCCAGTGTGATGTAGGGCTTCCATTCTGTACTAACCTATACTACACACTCAGCGCTACGTACAGCATCATTAGAGAAATCACAAACACAAAAACAGCAACTTTACCTATAGACAGTCATGTTCGAGAGACTGGAGTTGATTGTGTCAGGGGAGTAGCAGTCCAGAGAATCAACTATTGTGGCCTGAGCTGCCTGGCCGTACAAGTCTATCACACCATAGACACGGTCAGGAATGTTGCTGGCCGCTGCACCCTGATCCAAACCATTCACAAAGAAGTGTAATGTGCCGTTCTCTTTGCACATCACACCCACACGGTCACCAACCTACCGCAGAACCGAACAGCATGAATATTTGTGTTTAACCCTAGGGAAGTAACAAACAGCAGTCCTTACATGTCACTTCCTGAACATCAGACGAGTACTGACATCTTGTGAAGTGTGAACCTCACCTGCAGTCTGTCCAGGTTCTGGCCATATTCATCAATGACCATAGTTCCATTGTGCATGACCCCATTTCCTGTCATCATCCATGTGCCTGACCTGAAGAGAGAAACGTAAGTGGGACAGTAAAGTGACCAGCTCCATAGCATGGAGCAACATGCCCCAACTCATCTCTCAGTTTAAATATTCAACACATCTGCTTTATGGCACTCTCATGTCTCTAGGGCTTAAAACATGAACAGAACTTGTAACCAGAAAACACAGACAAAGTCAAGACTATGAAGTAAACTAATATCATGCTCATTAGACACAATCTGCTTGCCCTTCTAATGCTATAAACAAACCTGGCTCCTCACACAGGAAGCAAAGATGAACAAGCAAGGCCCTGACTTAAGCAATTTTAACTTTAATGATTCTGACTTACACAGATTTCTTATTAATGTGACTTACCTTAAATTATTTTAATGAACACTAAAACAATGAAAATGGTCTAAAATATGGATACAGAAACAGGTGAAATAAATGGTATCAAAGTTTAGCAAATTACACATTTTTCAATGGAAATTGAAATTGGGCAGTGGAAGTGGAGGAGTAAATATGTACATACCTGTAACCACTGTCTTACATGGAACACTTATTTTCATCTTTCATATATCTTACTACATGTTTCAGCCTCACTCAGCCATTACCAGGCTCACATAATCTTGAAGCTGTTGCACTGTCATCTTAGTATGTCATGTGTGAACATGTCATAAAAAAGTAAAAAGTAAAAGAAAAACTATCCCTGTAACAGGCCTTGGAGGCCCATAGGGTTGTGAGATGTTGAGTTTCCTACATTTTATAGACGATCGGCTCAAAGATGGCAGTAAGTTTGCCAGCCCTACGAACCGGCCGCCCTTTAATACCAAGAATATTCCTGGTACTCATTTCTGTTAGAGGCTGAGTCAACCCCGTGAACGTGTCATTATTTTTAAAAATAAGTGTTGCATTTAGGATAGTGATTACAGGTATGTACAAAAGGCAAGAATACTAGTGCAACAGGATACTAAAATACACAGCATCAAATGGCATCTACTTGCCTCACATTTGTCATAGTGGAGGGGTACTCCAGTTCTGTGGGGTTGTGGGTAGTAACCCCAATCTCGATGGAGCCTGCCCACTTGGTAACCATCTTGTCCAGACGAACTTCAAACAGCTCATTCGACTTCAGAGGACGATTCGTCAAAACTACTCCATTGTTGAAGTCATCCATTGCACTGCGCAGACACACACAATTACATCAGTTTAAGAGACCCTTAACGCTCAGGAGGGGAGTCATGATAATGACGAGCTACGGGCTGGATGGCCCGGGTTTTGATTCCCAGCAGTGCAAGACTGACTCTGGGGTTCACCCAACTTCCTATTCAAAGGGCACTGAAGACTCTTTCCCTGGGGATAAAGTGGCAGGGAGATGAAGCTGGCCACTCATGCCCATCCAGTGCCAAGGCCAAGCAAGGTGGAGCTATACCTCCATTCCATCACGTCTTCATGGCATAGTGTTTAACTAATTAAACACAGGGACAACTTGACTACTCAGTGCTCAGAAGGGGGTCTGCCCAACACAGCTGCCCTGTTTGGCCATCCCAAGAGACAATAACTTCTGTGGGAAGCAGGTTATGATGACAGAATTGTCTCATGTTCATGTCCAATGGCAAGCTTTTGTATTAGCACTGTTCAACGGAGTTGACTAATTTGTAAGCTGGACCTCAGGAAGGGGGAGAGAACTGGCTTCGGATCATGACTGATGGCTAGCGTCAGTATTAAGGGTGTTGAACAACCGCATTTACAACACATTTAAATAATTCAAATCTACAAGCAGACCATTTAATTTAAACAGTGAAGTCGTGTAGCACTGCACAATGAGGAGCTTCATAACTTGTACTCTTCTCCAAGTATAATTAGAATGATCAAGTCAAGGAGGATGAGGTGGGAAGGGCATGTAGCATGAATGGGGGAGATGAGGAATGCATATAGGATATTGGTGGGAAAGCCAGAAGGAAAGAGACCACTGGGAAGACCAAGGTGTAAGTGGGTGGACAATATTAAAATGGATCTTAAGAGAGATAGGATGGGATGGTATGGATTAGATTGATCTGGCTCAGGATAGGGACCAGTGGAGGGCTCTTGTGAACATGGTAATGAACCTTCGGGTTCCATAAAATGTTGGGAAATTCTTGAGTAGCTGCAGAATTGGCAGCTCCTTAAGAAGGGCTCAGTTCCATGAGTAAGCAAGCAAGTATGCCTTGTAGCATGACACAACACTCACTTGGGACGGTGGGCTGTGCGGCAGTTGTTGATGACGGCTGCATGAGTACCACAGGTGGAGTGGAACATGAGCCGGTCCACAAAGTCCTCATCAGGGAGATCTGTCCACAAGATACATAATAGTAGTATTCAGTGGGATCATGTGTGCGGTGACTATCAGTGGGTTAGCACACTGTTCCTTATCAAATTGAGATAAGTGACCCATCAGAAGGCCTTCTGTTCTAAACTTGCATTTCAAATATTTTAAACGCATGTTGAATGCTGTAGCACACCCCGAGAAGAGCCTTGTATTTCTAGAGTTTGGTCCCTACTGACCCACACCATTCAGAACATGTCCCATGGTGCAGTATTGCTGTCATTTCAACCACTCTGCACCCATGAGCGGTGCCAAGCTGACACACAACATGACAACATCCAAGACATACATGATTATACTGTAATGTATTACCATTCAGCCCATGGAGAATCTGGTGGTCTCTCAATGCCGTGTTCCGCCTCGTTATCAGGTTTTGTTCTTCTCGTTCATCTCTGTCGACTATTGTTACCTGCAGCAACACAATTCAGACATGCAGAGGTTCAGTATGCTGCAGACAGACATGCACCACTGCTGTGGCTCTTGCAACTTTATAGTGAACTTGAGTGTTTCTGTGTTGTGCCTTATCACACTGATGCACGACATAATTATCATACCTTGACAGTCATACCATACAGGTCCACAACACCCCAGACACAGGCAGGCACCTTGGTGGCAGCTACCCCCTGATCCAGCCCGTTAATGAAGTAGTGCAGGTTCCCATTGGACTTCCTCATCATGCCAATACGGTCACCTTCCTGTGAAACACCCACACAACCATAATCAAAGCACACTTCACAGCAGATCGCCTTCAAGACCTGAGGTTCTCACTGTGATGACCGTCAAGATCACAGTCTTCTGGGTTTTGATGCCGTGAAGTTTGGTATGAATACTGCTGAGAAGCCAACTGCTTCCACACCTACTTACTGCACTACACAGATATGTGGCACCATATCCCAGCTATCCTGACTGACTTGTGTGTGGTTTTCCCCGATATCTGCAGCCAAGTGTCACAGTACCTTGAAATAAGTTACAGCCATCTCCTTTAAAATCCTTACTTATTCAACATTCACGACTGTCTTCCACTGATACCATATAAGCTGCGCTCCACAGACAGCAGAACCTTTGCTCACCCTCAGTTCATCCAAATTAAACTCGCCATACTCGCGACGAGTGCCCTTCCCGTTAGTGAGGATGCCGCAGCCTGACATCATGGTGGTACCACTGCGCATATTCGTCATGGTTGCAGGAAATTCCAGTGCTGTCGGGTTGTGTGTTGTGATGCCCACCTCTATGCTACCAGACCACTTGTCTACCAGGCGATCAATTCGAATCTGGAAAAGTCAGATATCACTGGACATGACAGTGCACAGCAAACACTGTTCTGCTGGGCCCCACACAGCTGGATACAGCTGATGGTTACAGATCAGATCTCTGTCACACATCTATCTATGTATCTATGTTAAGAGGCTGTGGAACCTTCAGATCTTTTCATACTCTGACATATATATGGACCAACATTCATCTCACATTTTAAAACACAAGATTGACATGGATGACACCTGAAAAACTTTTCAGAGTTCTGGAACTGAACTAGCTGATAGTTCCTCAGCCCATCAAGAAGTTTCACATTATTACATAATCTGAAGATTCATTACCACATTGAAAAAGCTGATTACTAGATCATATCTTAACACCTTAAATGTGAAAATTTTATTTTAATATTAACCTCCCATGTATACCAAGTCATACAAGCGATCTACTTCCTTCACATTTTTCAACCAGAAATGTCTTTATGTTTCTCATCTCCCTCACAAGAGTTAATGATTAGTACAAAGTATGGCAGGCAAGGCAACTCATAACTAAAGTCCATAAAAACACAAGAAGGGTGGAGGAATGTGGCCAGATGCCAGGAATGTGAAGAGCCCTTCCTGACAGCAAGTGCTTCAATACTGAAATCTGTAACTTGCCTCAAATAATTCATTCTCTCGCAGCGGACGATGCGTCATAACTACTCCATTATTGAACTCATCCAGAGGACGCCTCCGTTCAGCTGTGCGATTATTACATGAGAGTTTCACTAAGGTTCCACACCGTTCATGGAACTGCAGTCTGTCTGGCACAGCTACGGCAGTGTTCACGTTCATATTAACATTCAGATTTGCCACAAGGTTTGTTACCGTCATCATGCCGTGGTCGTTGTTGATCTCTGCTTCTGACTCTGAACCTGGCACAGAAAGCAGACAGCAAGTGACGTACTCCACACGTGAATACATTGCCTGTTGGGCTACAAACCCAAACATCCATAGCAATGTTACATAAATCTGCATGCTAACAGAACTATTATGCTTCCTTCCGTATCCCTTCCAATTCATTCTTCACTGTCATCCAGTCATTTGATGCTTCACAGTCTGAAATACTGAAACATGAACTACAAACAAGTAAATAAAACTAACCCTTTGCTTCTTCCAATCTTCGTCTAAGTTACACAAGAACAGCTGTAACAGAACTAGACTTATAACATAAACACATCGCAATGCTCACGTTCAGAATCTGGAACACCAACTTCAGAATCCACGATGGTGACTTGCGCACATTTGCCATAGAGGTCAACAACTGCAAAGATTCTGGCTGGGAGATCATCTGCCGCCACACCTTGCGACACGCCATTAACATAGAACACCAGCTCACCCTGCAACACACACCACACAACGTTCCTTACTGAGTTGGTTTACAGAGACAATATAGACCAGTACAAGTCCCACAGCGTTTCAGAATATTCTGCTCCATCTTCTGAGTCAAAGAATGAGCCAGGCAAGAAAACAGTATGATGCAGGCAGCAAGCTGGGCCTGAAGATGGAGGCAGTAAGTTCCTCCAAAACAACGGTGGAATTCTTCTGGACTACTCAGCACTACACACCAGAAGGCAGTACTCTTCATAATCTTTGCTGCAAGAAGCTCAGATCCAGCAAGCAGAAGGTTTTTTGCTTGATAAAACAGGGTAAATACAATAAACACAAGCCAGTATTGCATTACCATTGTAAGATGAAGTTTGTGAGGCAAAGCAGTTAAACTTCTGTGACTTCAGAGGGAAATAAAAAGTGACAATACTGGAGTTGATACAAAACAATAAATTATGGACAGGGCCTGAAAATGCACACACTCCTAAAGATGCTTGAGGTGACATCATGAGGCCAGCAGGAATTGCATACTGACGATTATATCAGCCATGGATACATTTCTGCACAAAGTTTCTTCATTCAGGTTAGTATAGCTCTCCTAAATTAAAACCCCACTTTCTTGCAATTTCTGTAACTGTAATTCTTAACTCATGAAAAAGGGTCTATGATCTCCACAAAATGCCCCACGTGCCTAACTCCAGTTATTTCATAGTCATCGCCAAATCAAAGGTTACACACAGATTTTGCACTGCCACGATACTGTTGCTTTATGTTCAAAAACAATAAAAAAAATTCAATTTGTATTACTTACTTACTTATGGAGCTGGGCCCTTCTTGAGGAGAAGCCAAATCTGCAGCTACTCAAGAATTTCCCAGCATTTTATGGAACCCGAAGGTTCATTACCACATTCACAAGAGCCCTCCACCGGTCTCTATCCTGAGCCAGATCAATCCAATCCATACCAACCCAGCCTATCTCTCTAAGATCCATTTTAATATTTTTTCTTCTTTCATGCATCCTGTTGAGTTATAATATACAATATTAATATAATTAATATTATTGTATCCAATTTATTTGTACTGCAGTTCAGTGGTGTTGTATGTTAGCCATGTATTTTGCCTGATAATGGATTTTAATAGCCGAAACATGTAGCAGTGCCAAACTAGACACTGGCCTTAATATTGTTGTGTTGTGACGGTTTTAATAAAGAAATTTCATTTTAATATTGTCCACCCACTTATGCCTTGGACTTCCCAGTGGTCTCTTTCCTTCTGGCTTTCCCACCAATATCCTATACACATTCTTTTTCACCCCATTCGTGCTACATACCCTGCCCGCCTCATCCTCCTTTACTTGATCATTCCAATTATACTTGGAGAAGAGTACAAGTTATGAAGCTCCTCATTATGCAGTTTCCTCCAACCTCCTGTCACTTCATCCTTCTTCAGTTCAATTTGTATTAACAAAGTAAATTTTAGGGCCCTGTATTAAGAAGTACAAATGTCACCCCATTGGTATTATCAGCAGTTAACACCATAACAATTGTACTAAGTTAAATGAAGATCCATCAGTCAGTTTTGAAGAAACAAGGGAGGGACACACACACACGACATAAGCCTGACTTTGTCACGCCTTTGCTCTTCCAACTGCAGGAAAATGCAGTAAAATCAATGGCAATTAACCCTCTGGAACCTGAAGTATGCCTAATAACATTTAACAATTCAGCTCTTGCCTCACAGAAGAAAGAAAAAGAGATAAACAGAGACAAACCGGTTAATGTTGCTACAGGAAATAATAGCCGTTTATCCTGAGAACAATATGAAACACATAAATACACTCTGTGGGCAGGATGCAGAGTTTCTGAATGTTAAAGCAGGTGCTACATGTAGTAACCACTCTGGTTTAAGGGGGTGGAAGCACTACACACTAGTTTCTGAAATAAATACGCAGACTAACACATGTGACAGTAACAGAGCCCCAACAGGGCTGGACTGTATCATGAGCCAGTTCATATCCCCCCTCACAACGTTACTGTCCGAGGTTGCAATCCCTTACCTCAGATGTCCTCATGACACCAATGCGTTCCCCTTCCTTCAGCTTGTCCAGGTCAATTCCATACACCTCAACAACGGATCTCCCATCCTTCAGAATTGAGTTGCCCGTCATGATCTGGAACAACACAATGAAGTGTGCTGAGGCCACAGAACTGGTGACGACAGTCAGCGAGGCTTCCCGCTCCATGCCAGCCACTTATGGCTCAAGTCAAAAAGCCAAACACACTTGCTGCCAGCAAAGATTATTGCAATGAAAAAGCATGCTGACAGTAATATACAGGAAGCATGCTGTAGGGGGAAGTGTAACAGCTTGAAGAACGGGACTTCTTTCCATGGCCCCAGTATAGCTCCATACATCTCTCTGGCTAATGTATATCAACATGACAGGAGGAAAGTGTGTACACAGTGGGGATGACATGCACCACTATGTGGACCTGAACTGCAGCCTTTCAGTCTACGGCCCATGCACCACAACTCCAATACAATTAGGCTGTATTCATAACAAGAATTAATCTCAATTACCACAACAGCTTCAGGATCTGAAACTGAAGATTAAGAAAAACTGTGATTTTATCAAAACTATCGAGCCATGATGATACATTCAGACCTGACTGAATGCCCATCATGCTACTCTGCAGAATGCTTGTCCATTTATTTTATAACACAACTCAAAATTCTAATATTTTTAAGGAATTCTTTCTCGTATGAATCCGCAAAGTGAAAAATTGTACAGTTCAGGGAAAGCGCCCAGTGTTCTGGAGGAACAAGCTGAGCCAGCTCAGCACACTGCTATTTCTGCTAGCTTCTAGCTGGGCTTGCTCTTCGACCCTGAAGCTGGAGTTGGTATGTTCCTCTGATAAACTGGGATCTCTCCAAAGTACATGGCTTTATAACCCAGAACTCTGTATTCTTCACAGTCACTGTTGTGAGAACCTCAGATTCAATATCCTTCACATATTTTCCATTACTACTGTACTGTGCAAGCAATTATTGGATATGACATAAATTACAGTAACAGTAAACCCTGCCCTCTTTCAGCTTTCTCTGTGGACAGCTTCTGGCCATGGATATGAACAGTTCAGTCATGCATACAGAATATGTATGAAAATTTAGTAATGCTATATAAAGCAAAAAATCTCACCCATGAGCCATCACGAAGGTCTGTGGCACTAGAAGGGAACTCCAACAAATCTGGATCACATGTTGTCACCCCAATCTCCACACTCCCACTCCACGAGCTTATCTGCAAGAAGTTGATGGCACTGACTATCCTCACAGATGGAACACAACACATAACAAGATCCTGAGCCAGTCCACATCCTCAAGACACATTTCCATATGGTAATATTACTGTCATCCTCCCGTCTCTAACTCTGTCTTCCAGCTGGTCACTTTTCATGAGGTTTTGCTACCAAAATTGTGTGCTCAGTTCGCTCCTCATCTGATCTGCATTTAACTCCTGAATACTTGTAAAATTCACTTGTAGTGAAAAACAAGCTAAATGTATATTTATAGGTTAGACCCACCACGAAAGAATTATTGTGAATGGCAAATTTAAAGGAACTGGAAATGAAAATAGTTCTGCCTGATTTTTGGATTATGAAGGATGTATGAGAAAAATCAAGACCTCCAACATGGGAGCAATGACTTGAACATTCTGCACAAAATCAAAAACAATGCCACATAGTTAATGTGTTAGGTATGAAGAGCTCTATGTAAGCAACTTCCGGATAGTGCCTTGAAATAAGCTACGGCGGCTTCGGTCAACATTTTCAGAAATAATTATTATAGTTTCATGTTCAGTGCCATTAAACAGAACCGAACTCACCATTCTGTAAAAGCCTAATTTACACGCTACTGTGAAGGCTGCCCCCAATTCCTATCAGAATTACACCACTCATACAATTTTTGTTGATTATAACAGACTCAGCCTTATCAATACCGGTAACATATAACGATGACAGACACAATTTCAACGCCACTCTGACCTTCTCATCTTGAAGGAAAACTTCACACATAAATGCGAAATGACAGTTAAACAATACTGACATAATGTGCATACCCGGTTTTCTAATATAATTTATTCTAGTACATGAATCTGTATATAAAGTATATAATCTCTTGAACATTAATTTCCGAAATCAACTTGTCACTAATCGAGCTAGTGGTCCCACACGGCATCATAACAATTAAGCATCTCTCACCTTCTTGTCTATTCTGACTTCGAATAACTGATTTTCTGCCAAAGGCTCGGCGCTTAGAACTAAACCATAATTGAATTCAGCGAAATTGCGAATCGCTGTTCTGTTTCCATTTGTTAATGTAATTCTCTCTCCGCATCTTCTATGAAACATTGCTGCCATTGTGAATTTGCTATCCCCTTCCTGTGTTCATACAACCCACCGCACCCCCCCTTTCGGTCTTACTGGGGGAAGCGCCATCCCCACCCCTTGTGCCATTTTGGCGCAATATTTTGAACCAAAACATCCTGTGGGCAACATTTGTGATTTAACGATGCTGTCAGTATCTCAGACTCTGTGGAATGATTGTGTAGTTCGTGAATAATAAATAAGGAAAAGAATGTGGAATAAAGTGGTTGTAGCCTAATTGGAGGCACTATCCTGGCCTTTGCCAAGAGGGCCTGAGAAAATCAGACCAGATAACTGACTGTTACCTTTATTGATGCTCAGGGTTTCAAACATCCTCTGATCCTTATCAGAATGTAGCTCCACATCCACCTGTGGCCTAGCACTTATCTGGAAGTCTACAGCACATCTGAATGTTGCAAATAGTAACTTACCTCTTCATACTTCTGTTTACATGTGTAAATGGTACTGAGACAAGGTTTACCACCCTGTTCCATACTCAAAATTGGGTCACATTTAATATCACTTATTTATACACTATAAATCTGTCTTATGAAGTCTGAAGTTCCCACAATGATGATCAGTAAGACTGTGGTATTCTGGAATGCAGTATGGTAGATAGGTACTACCTTTTTGGAGGAACATACTGCATCTACCTCCAGAATGAAAGGAGAAAATACAATAAGAAGACATTCTTTTATCCTGAAAATGAGGCATGAAGTTCCTCTGACAAACTGGTACAGATCTGTCACACTGTACAGCATCAAATTCCACATGAAAACAATCTTGAGTTTTAGAAGTCAATTTTTGTTCAATATTAGAATACTGTTAGTTATTTTACATATTAAGAACATGAATTTCTAGTAATCTGAATTATTATGACTATTTTCCTAGATCTGTAATAATCCTGAAACATAATAATTCCATAATAGTGTTGTATAAACTCCTTAATCACAATATCACCAACTGCAGACTACTCACACTGTATATTCAGTGTATAGTTAATATGAAACTGCTGACATGGGAGAGGTTTTTTTTAGGTCCTAAAAAAAAACATGCTGACATTTTTGTAATGTGTATTTATCAAATTGTTGCAACATTATGAACTGAATCATCATCATCTATGGATCTCTCAACCGACTCTTATGGTTGAATGTCTACAATTTCTGCTCTGTATTCGGGAAGGTCCCACATTCACAATTTGGCATGAAGATTGGCTATCCTGACTCAGGTGCTTCTGTGGTTTTCCCAACGCACTCTGACAAATGCCAGAATATTTGAAATTTGATTAGGAATATCTTTTGACATAAGCTGGCTCCAGAAAATGAGCAATTTAGGATATCAGATAATGAAGAACTTCATGATTTATGTCATCATACTGAGGCCACAGAAAGAAGTCATTGATGTTTCCCCTCTAAACATCCACAACCTGTTATGCTTCCCTCTTCAGTATACTCCTCCACAAGTTCCCCAAGGCCATTGTGTTCGAAGGAATGTTTGTAGTGATAACATTCACTAGAGACAGGTGCTTTGTGCTTGTTGCCATAAGTTGGAGGGGAATATTACAGCACATGAAAGGGGGTTGCCTCAACCACTCCCATCCACATTGCACCCAGGACTTTTCCCATGACCTAATTACAGTACCATCATGGGGTGAACACCTGGTGTCAGATACAGTGCAGTTTCTTTTACACAGTTATGGTGGCTGATAATGCAGTTACAGTCTATTTGGCCTCCCTGGCCCTGCTCACCTTAGCAATGGTGTCCTGTTCCCCAAACAATGGCCAGACATAAGCTACAGGGGCATCATGGTACTCAGTTCTATCCTTGCCAGAGGCAAGGAAAAAAGAGATATCTACACAACACTGCGCACCTCACTAACTTCATACTTTGGGTCCTTTTTAAAAAGTTGATGTCACTAGACTCTATCCTGAACCACGTGAGCCTAGTTCAGATCTTAAGTAATGGTAAAGTTGTCCTGTACTTAAACAATCACTCTGCTAGATGCATGGGGGAGTGGAGGTATGCATGCATTCTTAAACTCGACACTTGATGGAGATGGACATACAGCTTCATGCACCCTGTTGGAGCAGAGGAATTATTTGAGCTGCAATGGGAATGTAAGCTGAAAAACTGACAGAGTCAAAGCAAAGCTTACAGCAAGTGGAAAGGAACTAAGAGGAAGATCAAGAGACAAATGGAAGAACAGTGTGAAGAATTGTATGAAGTCATAACCAATTCTCCAATATATTAACCAGGCAATCTTCCCTTATGGCACAGTCTTGCTGTATACAGTACTACCAATTACATACAACTAGGAATCCTCAATAGAAACTATACACAAAAGATAAATTATGATCTACATGTTACAACTTGTTGCCAAAACTAATATGTTTCATGTCTCCCTGGGAGCTCAGGCTGAAAGCTGCTGGCTGTCAGGCATCAGAAAATAACAGCATTTCTCGTCAATTCTGGATGCAATTTCATTAACTATAATCAAGTCCTGCCAATGATACATCCAATGTAATCAGAATCCAATATCTTCATCACATGACTCAAAACTAACAAGAATTTTGCAATTTTTCAGTAGCAAGTTTCTTCTGCTTCCATGGCCACAGCCAGAACTGATAGCAGAATCACTTATATTTTATATTTAAATGGGCAATCAGTTTACTATCTCATATCACTTTAATATATAACCAAAGATGTAAACACTGACAGACAGCCTGAAACCAAGAAAACATCAGCGAGCATGACATGCACACTTTTATTTACATAAAAATGTATGTCATTACTCAGAAAGGAGACAAAAACTCGTTCAAGATACTTCAAAGAAGTAGTCTACTCTTTGGTTTTGATGGATATCACCTCTGCCACATCTAAAAGAATATATGGACTGAGGACTTTGCTCACCCCCACCTGTTTTAACACAGAATTGCTGTCCACAACTTCATGTCTCAAAATAATTGTGCAACTTCAACAAGACATAGCAAAATGACAAATGTTTCATCAGGCCTGGCTCTCACTGGTTTATTGCTGAATACCAGTTGCTTCAAAAACTTTACTATGAGACAAAGGCAACATTAAGAAATAAGGACATCTGAATCCATATCCTAAATTGAATGTATATCTTTTCTGAGAATTTCTCACTAATGTGTCACCTACCTTCCACCACACAAACCTTTCTCTAACAGCAAGTGACTGGAACCAACTTCAAAATGGTTCAGCAATGGAATAACACACTTCTCAGAATCTTAACAGCAGGACACAAAAATCTGCCCGCATTTTTTTAACTAAATCCCCTGAAACATTTCATGTACCTTCACAGAAGTTTGCTTCTTACAGTACAGAAACAAACCCCAGGTCTTCACAACACAGTTAACAAGTTCCTAAATACATTTTTCTGCGTGCAGTCTGAGAATCTAACAGCAGTGAATACTAAGACTGAGGCCTTCCGGGATGTGATACCATTCAGAGTGGGGGACAGGTACTAATGTTCTGGGGGACACATACTGCTTCAACCATCAGGGCTGAAATGTATACAGCAAGTTCCTCTGGAACACTGGTACCTATCTATCAAACTACATGGTGTCACGGTCCCCAGAAGACTGACATTACATTTTTACTGAGTACAAAAAGTGAATTAAAAATTAAACCGCATCAGAACTGATTTCTGATGAAATCAGTAACAGAAAGCTGTGGACAGGCCATGTTATGGTTGGCACCCTTAACTGTGTCTGTTCAACGTGCAAGCACCTCAACATCTGACTAGCTATGTGCTACCATTTGTTTATATACGTAACATTAGCCAAAACACAGTACAAAAATTAACATACACGACAAAGACCATTCACTGCTTCCAGCTGTCAAAACAAATAGTATCAAAATCAAGCAAATTTACCACTCAGGGTCAGTGATGCTGTGTACAAATTAAAACTCTATTTCAATTATGCAGACGTCACAATCTACCGTACCAGTGCCTCTCAACCAGTGGCATGTGGCAACACACTAAAATATCTCACAGCAACACCATCTGTACATGTGTGTACAATAATAACATTCTATTTATATAATTCACTGTGATACACACCTCAGTACAAAGGAAATATCAATTGATTAAAAGCATTCTGCTGTACAGTTTAGGTAACCATGGAGGTGAGTGCCTGCACTGTGAGTGTTAGTAGTGTGACTTATTTGCGCTATGCAGGACACCCCCTCCCCGCCAGGGGTGACGTAACACCTTCGGAGCGTTGCCGCTGCTACGGTAATAGGCCAACACATGACAGTATAGTGACACCATGTAGTATTGTACGTGGACACCGAAATTTTGGAGGAACATGCTGCCTCCTTCTTCAGGGTGCCTGAAACAGGCTCCATCTTCTCTCCTGTTTTATGGATCCATGCGACCATCTTCCTTGCAACATGACTGACCACATCATCAACCCATTCACTCCAGAGGTAGTGGCATGACTCCCAGAGTCATGAGTCCTGCTGCAAGACTATGCTGGTGAGGACCAGTAGCAATTTACCCAACCCACACAGACCCACCCACTCCAATCCTGAAGATGGAGACAGCATGTTACTCTAAAACACTGGCATCCAACTACAGTGGTGTCACATTCCAGGGCCGGAATATTAACATCTTATTAAAGAGCAATAAATGGCAACAGTGACCAGAATAAAAAAAGTCCAAATTGACAATGGCTAATCTGAACACTGCGTGAGATGAGGAAAACGTTGAGGTAGATAACAGTTTTAACAAAGGAGCTGGAGCACAAGCCAATGAGATGGCAAGATGGAATTTCATTACTATAACCAAGGTTTGTGAACAAAAATTAATTAAAAATGTTACGGCATGCCAGCTGGTTGAGAAACAGTGTTGTGTTACCGTAATACCCTGACAGCTACATATGGCACACCAACATCTTCATGAATCCTGCAGTTCACTACATTTTCAGAACTACCACTCTCTGTTCAATGAAACTGAAACGTGCCAATATCCGGCTACGTTAACTTTAAACCTGAGAAGTACTGAACTTGAACTAGCCATAACAGCAAATCCTCTAGGTCAGTGGTTCTCAACCATTGTGAGACTGCAGCCTGGTAAATTCTTTTTTATAAGATCACGGTCCGGTATAATCAACGCCAGGGCCCAGCACCAGGCCGCAACCAAGCGGCGGAGATACACTGCTCTAGGTCACGAGATTTATGCTCTTCAAGGGAACACTGCTGGGTACTAACGCCCTCATTCAACAGTGCCTTTCTATAATGGACAAAGCCCAAAAATTACAAAAATATATCTAGACATGTATTCTAATGTAAGCCACCTTGTCGTCCTGCTGTATCACAGAACTAAAAATACTTGTCACTTCTAAACAGAGTCCTTGGTTCAGTCTCAGGTGGTTGTGTCTGGATTTGTGGCAGACAAAGTAGCACTAGGATGAGTCTCTGTCTGTGCATGTTGGCCCTTCCACACAAATTCTTCAGACTCATTTATCATCACACATGAGGAGTGCCAGCCAGCATGTCATAACAACCTCAGTCCTCTGCTGGAGCTTCACTTATTTTTGCATCATACCATTACAACGATATTTAATTGCTAAATACGAAAATCAATCAAATACAACACTCATGGATCTATAATTTCACTTGGCCTGACATGTTTTTATCCTAAAACCATTACCAAGGACACATGTCCAACAGTTACATAAACTATCAAGACTTTCTATCATGTAATAAAATAACAATAATAATGACAATGCCACATGAGTTTTTAACTACAGAAACTAAAACACTGCACATAGTTTATTAATATATATGAAATATAAAAATTGTACAAATTATATTACATACGGATTGATGATAAAGCATGTGACTACACTTTACAATTCACTATTACATACACACACACACACGTGCACAAACACTAGTGTCCACAGTCATGTTTTCATTAGCTGTTGCTCCATAGCAGCTTCCAATGGACACTCCCCTTCCTCGGGGTTCCCAAACTATTTCCAGCTGACTGAATGACTAACTCAGTCACTCACCACTCAATTGAACTGACTTCACTTCACTGTCTTCTTTATAACATCTTGGCAGAGGCTGCACAGAAAACACTGTTCCTCTGTTGCTGCCTCCAATTGCTGCCATGGACACACACTTCTTTGCAAAGCCGTTACTTAGTAATGGCTGTTGTATATTTGCTTATCTTGTAGCCAGTGAACAGCAACAGGTCTACACGCCACAAAATTTTAACTGTACTAGATGTTTATTTTAATATAAAATATACTACTACATATTTTCAAATAGATGATTATTTAAACAATAATTCAAAACCAATATACCTATGCATTGTAAAAGTATGATAATTTATGTAATCATATATCACATACCCTAGATAATGATCCTAGGACCTAAATATGTCAAGCTGGGTGAAAATATAAATGCATGAGTGTTGTACTTGAATGGTTATTACATTAATGAACTAAGCCGCAGTAGATCTCAACACAGCAAACGGTACTCTAAAGGCTCATCCCTCACATTTACGTTCTTGAGTACACACAAGCATGCATGCACGCACACACACACACTTGGTCTGGTCTTTGAGATGTGTAGGCTCCCTAACTGATAGATCAGACCCTATTACAATTATTTTAAATAAAAAGGGGGTGTGAAAACCAAGTAGACTGATGATAACATGTCCCATAGCGCAGAAAACTGCAATAACAGAAATACTGATATAAGCCAGTTGACAATGTACAAGATGTTGGTGCAACCTGCAGCACAAATCACTACTTTGCATTCCGATTTGAACGCATCAGAATCACTACTGTCCCATTTTTTTGCAGGCTTCACTGAGTCGAGACTCATTATGACCACCTTCAACAGCTGGTACCTGTGCTAAAATAATTTGCTGTTTACATAAATACTATGTTAACATTATAAACATATAATGCAATAATTAAAAGTGCAGCTAAAATGTGTCTGATTAATTCTCCACATGTCACAGACAAATGTAGCTATTCCTGCTGCTTGATGTCTAGATAAACTTGTGGATTATGCTGAACATTAAAAAACAACTGACAAAAACAGCATTTAGTTCTTACTTCCTTTTTCGTAAAATTACGCAAATAGGCGTAAAAACATTGGACACTGTTGGACAATTGTTAATTCATTTTCTTTGATATGAACCTACATTTCATAAACAGCAAACATTTGAACACACAGATAAAGGGAGAGATCACAATTAGGGACTTGTCTCAAGTATTTCTCCACACGATTACAGAGAACAACACTGTTCAGCCACACATCTTCATTGGTAAGAAATCTGTCGGAACATGGAGCTGATTTCTTCTATAGTCTTGTTCTTCGTCTCAGGAACCTTCTTGTACACAAACAGGACAAACAAGGCCAGCAGGATGGTGAATATGATGAATACATTTCCACCCAAAGCTTCCTGCAATGGTAGAAAAGTATATTCAATTTGCAGTGCATGTAGATGCATGTCTGTATGTTTACTTACTGAAGTTAGGGCTACAGCTGACAAAGATAATGAACAATAGGCACAATGGCTCAGGGTATGATCAAATGGCAGGAACTGACCTGCAGTGGCAAGAAGCCAATGCCAACAATGAAGTTAGCAGTCCAGTTGATGGCCACGGCAAGACTCGTTGCTGCCCCTCGTGCTGACTGGTTGAACAACTCCGACACCAGGAACCAAGGGATGGAGCCGGGTCCAATTGCAAACATTACAACAAAGAGGATGACGAGCAGAATGCTGATGTACGATACCCACAAAGCAGCATTCTGGAACACAAAGTGGCTCGCATCAGTCTGCAGCAACCTCCACAAGTCCGTCACAGTTCTCCTTATTCAGGTCCACTGTCCCATGACAAAAGCGAATATCTGTGTTTACTTTTTACATTTATTGGCATGGAATGGTTGAGTACCTGCACATAGGCGAGACAGATGGTGAGCAGAATAGTGGTGCAGCACATGCCAGCGAACCCAATGAGTAGCAGGGTCTTGCGACCAGCCTTCTCCACAATGACCATCGAGACAAGAGTCATAAACACATTCACTGCACCCATTCCCAATGTAGCATACTGTGCACTCTTGTCATCCAGCTGCGCCATCCGGAAGATCTTCGTTGAGAAGAACATGACCTGGAAGCAGATAAAGATGTCATTAAGTGGCAGCTGACAGCTGTCAGTCAGTTAACAGTGACAAATGTCATTTCATGCTGAAAGAGATGGGGACAAGTATGTAAGAGTGACGCTGCCCAATGTCCTGTACACCGTTAGTTAACTCAGGAACACACATCACTACGGTACAGGAGGAACACTGCCCCAGATCAACAATTACACAGAGTGCAGTTGAGGATTTCTCCTATCAATTCCCTCAATATTTTTTGTTTGCCTACCTAAGCTCAAGTGGTTAATTACGACATTCTTTTTCATGAAATGCATCAACACTGATGACTAGCATGGCATCCAAGACATTCTGAAGTTCACTCTTATGACATGCCAGTATTTTGTCTTATCATCAACAGATGGCACCCACATACACTTCTGTGTCCATATTTAACCACAGACTGCATTTAATTTATCAACATACACCAAATGTAATCAACAAATACTGCAACATGTCTTTAAAGTAGTGTTCAAGGGGTTTATCAATCAAGGCACAATTATAGCGTAAAGCACAACAGATCACTGTAGGTCGCGCTGCAAAGGGCCGAGAAGGCCAACCCCTTATACATCCATTATACATCTTATATATTCAATTATACCAAGATCATAGAAGAGGAGACAAGTTCAGACACTTACAGCATTAATTCCGGACAGCTGCTGGGCCACCATAACCATCATGGCAATGATCAGCGGGATGCGGAGAGTGGCATTGACAAACATCTCCTTGAGGGTGACCTTGGGGACAAGTTTCATTGCCTCATACTCATTGCGCATGTCGTCCATCTCATCATGCACCTCGATACTACCTCGCAGCCAGGTCAGTGCTGGAATGGCAGGACAGAGCAACTGCTAGTCACTCATCTCATTAAACATTCGTAACGTAGCCCAACAGAAGTTCAACCCATTTTAATATTTAAAATGTTCATCACATTGCCACACTCAGAATGTAAGGAAACCTTCAGTTTGAAGTGAAGGCATCATAACAGCCTGTGTCTAATGTATCACCACAACATTCAACTGAACTGTAAGACACTGTATTCAGACTGCAGTCTTCAGGAATGAGGCACCATGCAGTCTGCAGACAGTCTTGCCCACATCTACATGATCTCAAGATGGTGGCAGTTTGATCCTTTAAAATGTTGGAAATTACCTATGAAACTCCATAGTGCTACATGCCAGAAGCCCGTGACTTAAACACACATATAACTTCACCTAATGTGCGGTTTGGCATACCCCGATACTTCCCCCCAAATTTTGCTTGGAGAACGACACCCCTGCTTCTACTCAAGTACTACAATTACAGTTCAGATTCAGCATCTGAAATTCTGCGGGTGACAGAGAACCAGTCAGTCAGGAAGCGTCCCATAAGCACCCACACTACTGTTCTCACATTCACTCTGAGGTTTCACAGCCATACCTCTCTGTGCCTCCATTTCTTGCCCCTTGCTAAGCAGCAAGTACTTTGGTGACTCTGGGCAGATGGGTAAAGTGGCCAACTGGAAGATCCCGGGAACCACTGTGATTGCCAGGAGAATAGGCCAGGAGTCCTCTGTGCCCAAGATTGATTCCAGCCCGAGAATCTGTGATACTAGGATGGAAATGGTGATGACTAGCTGGTAAACAGTACCAACCTGTAACAGGTACACCATTTTCCATAACCTCACCTTCAAAACATCTCTATACATATAAGAAAACCTTCTAGGCCGCCCAAACACATATTTGATTCCAAGTTAAAATTCATCTGTGGCATAGTATTTCATACTTAAATTTTGCAAAAGAAGAAAAGCCTAGGTGTTAGGTTATGTGACACATGCCACTGTGGAGGATCATACCAGGGTCTCTTATTGTCTGGCTCGCTCTTATGCAATAAACACCTGTTTATGGCTGAGGTCTTCTGGAATATGATGCTGTGTACTTTTGTGGAGAGAAATCTTGTGTATTGTAAGGTAATCATTCACAACTCAGATGGTCTGAGCCTTAACATTTACAATCATGAGAATCTCAGACCTTACAGCTGTCTCATTATACACATGAACTATCTCTTACTGCAACATTTTGAAGTTCCACAAATTTTCTATAAGTCTTACAGTGGTGGTGAAAACATAACATGTCTGAATTAGAAAAAACTCATTTCTACATAACATCCTGCACTTGATAGTGAATAACTTTGCTGCAGGCTATAATACAACTTGTGTGTGGAGCCGTGAGTGTGACATGAATGCAAGGTGAAACTTACCGCCCCTCTCAAGTGCACCGGTGATATCTCTGCAAGGTACATGGGTGCCAAGCCAGCATTCAATCCGGAATTGATACCAATGAAGAATCGGCCAATGATGATCATCTCAAAAGAGCCTGCTGCTTTTGAGGCACCTGCAAAAAAACTGCATGATCTTAACTAGCCCAACCATGAGCATGGACTATGGGTGCTACAGAGAAAGAACACTTTGTTTTGTGTCATTCGTGATTGAAGACTGCGTACCTTCAAATATGGCAGCAAGCGCAACCAGCACATTGTTTAGCAAGAGGCCACCCTTCCTGCCAAACCGCTCTGCCACAATACCAGTGATGGCACCTCCTATCATACCCCCTACACAGAAGATGGCTACAGCAATGGACCAGATGATTGTCACTTTGGACTGGTCCACAACTTGGCCTGTCCTGTTCTGCTCTGTCTCTGTAATCCATTCCTCTATCAGCTGGAACAGATATGAGGCACGATTACAGTTCACATGAGGTTACACAACTCAACATTCATATACACTAATTTGTCACTGGATTAAGGAAAAACAGAAATTAAAAAAAGGAATCTTCTGGTATAAGAAAACTCATCTAAACTGAACACTTTTATAAGAAGGAGACTAGAAGAAAAGCAACAAAATTAGAACGTGATATGTCCCAGGATTACTTGCATCTAGTGGAGCTTTGCTTCTGCTCCTCCATTCATTTTCATGGCGTGGCATGTACGTACAGGAGCAACATAAACTTGGAGTAAAGAGGGAACATACTGGGGAACACAGGATGCAGGAAACAGAAGAAAGATGAGCAGGCAGGAAAACTAGCACAGCATGTCCCCCATAGGAATATGGTAGCACATGTCACAGTGACTTGTCATTATCTGTTGCTCAGGAAACCGGCTGCATATCCGGAAACTTTCCGATGGGCAGCGTAATGTTCAATGTCAACATGGCATGATGACGCATGTCATTTCCATTTGACCTCTTCCTGGGGAAGCCAAATATGTCTCCTCTAAGTGGGAGAATTTTTTAGTGACCCCAGCCTGACAGAATTACAGGCCCATATGCACAGCGCTCAGCATATCACACGACACATCTCGAAGGGCATTTGAAGACACTGAGCTGCGCCCTCAATTTGCTACTTTATGTGACATTATCAGCAGCTCACAGTGCGTGACACTGGATGATATGATGAAAGGATTGCAAAGGATATGGAAAGAAGTGGTCAAGGCCTAATTTAAGGTACTATCCCAACATTACCGTGCAAAGAGCGGGGGAAAGCACGAAAAGCTCACTCACAAAGGGCAGAGTTCCAGGAAAGTCTCACAAATATGAGATGTTACCGCTACACCAAACCGCTTAGTTCGATTGTCTAAAGGTTGGTGGTAATGGTTGCTTCATCAGGGAATATTACGTTGGACACTGTCCATTGTCTAACGTATGCATTGGATACACATACCGTTTCAACCAATGATAGAGACTTGCGCTTTCTAACGGTGCCAACCTAGTGAGATCCTCTCGCCACTTTACCTGCTGACGCCAAGGGAATTCAGATTCTGAAACGCTGTGTAAGGCCTGCACCACATTCACATTAAGATAACCCACGGATACAGAAATAAATGGAATGACGGGACACAACGGATTCACTCGGCGGACTAGTTGTGCATTCTGATCCTGACCAAAGTCTTTCGTGTTTTTCTCCAGTCTTTTCAGGCAAAGGCCGTGATGGTATCGCCAATCAGCCACGACTGTTTCTTCCCAATTCAGCGCCATACAGAGCCGTACAATAAGCACACAATCAGCAGGCGATGGTCGATACATGTCACAAGTCTGACAGCGCGTCAGCACACAGACGTACGTTGCAAGTGCCGAAATAGGGTCGGTCGGCAGCCTAGCGAACACACGGCACACTGAGCTGATGTCCTCACTCAGTAACGAACCCCGGAAGCAAGAGAAGCTAAACAGTAGCTCAGCTGTTCAACAGAAGTCCCGCGTTTTATGTAAACTGCAAGTTCCTTGCGCTAACAAGAGAAGGTCAGTCGTGTATAACTGAACCAGATGAACTGACATGCCATTTAATATTATCTTACCACTCACGCCAAAGTCTTCGAAATGCCCTTCGGGGTTGAAAAAAAACTGAACGCATTTCTGACACCTACCATGTATGCTGCATGTCCTGCCCATCATAACCTTCTTGATTTGACAATTTTAATAGCAGGAGAATACAAACTATGAAGCCATTAAATAGTATCACTTTCTGATATGTACCACGGTGTAGTCCCGTAGTTCTCCGACGTTTCGGCAAAACGAAATGCAGCCATATTTGTGGATGGAGAGTATGCCAGGAGAGTGACCAGCAACAAGCAGGGTTTCTTACCGGTTATTTGTCCGGTTTACTATTCGTCCCGAATGATGGAGGCAATATGTCCCTCCGAAACGTCAGCTATCTGCCTTGTTACACGACAGCCTACTTCACAAGACCGAACCCTTCATACTTACGGCTGTGGGAATCTCAGATTCAACGATAAAGATTCTCATTATGCAACTATTCCGAGACTCCGTGGTGTTCACTTCATGCACGTACTCTCAGTTTCAGAAACCTATCAATGGCGGTTCGTAATCCTTCAAGCGAGGGGAAGGCAGCGAAACAGAGGAAACCAGTCTGCGCAACTGGGGGGCTACCCGACCCTGTGGTTGCGCATTTCTGCCCCAGATCGCACCCAAGAGTTCTCGAGGTCAACTGCCCAAAAATCTCAAAGCCAGAGCACACTGATGTCTCAAACTGGTGGACATATGCCGGCATCTAAAGACATAACAACCGACTGCAGTACGTTGTCATGGAAACGCTGTGCCAACTCTGCCGAACAGCCGCTACACCCCAACACTCGCACAACGCCCGCCTGTCCCGCAACTCAAATGGCTTCTCTGTTTTGCGGGTCTGCATACATCAGCGTCTGACGTTTGTGACCCAACACGATAAGGGGTTGCCATGTCTGGCTCGAGTCTCATGAAATCTGTTTTTGCCTGGCTGTCACTAAAGCGTTCCCTAGGAATATTATTATTCATAGCAGTCGTAAATGTAAGAAATAACAGCAACTGAATGCATCTGCGCAGGCGCAGGATTCTGAAGTGCCTGTTTCTAAAATAGTACTTCTTGAGGGTAGTGTTTTTGATAACATGGTGATCGCGCGAAATGTGGCGCTGATTCTCGCATCTTCGATGTCTGCAACGGTCGCAAGCTGATGACGGCATATGTTGCAGGCGCTTCATGTGAAGCTGTGCAAAGTGAAATTCAGATACCAGCTCAGCATTTGCTCTAGGATCGAGGTAAATCACGGAGAATCTTCGTCGCAGGACCTTCCTGGTGCAAACTGACAGTTAGCCAGCCGGCCGGCTGGCTGAACGTGAACCGAGTCAATGCAGAATTCGGTTCCTACACCACAGAAACCGGCGCGTCTCGATTACAAAGACCGAACGGTTAATGCTGCTTGGGGAAGGAACGCAATTTATTGCGACTTACATGGAGCACATAAATACATCGTGTGGGCACAGCGCCGAGGAGGTGGTACACATAGTTACCACACTAACTCCATGGAGCTGAGCCTAGTCTTGAGAAGCCACCAGCTGTGCAACTGTTCAAGAACTTCGAAACATTTTATGGAATCCAATGGTTCATTATCGTGTTCACAAAAGACCTCCACTGCTCTATCCTAAGCCAGATAAATCCAATCCATACCACCCCATCCGATTAAGATCTATTTTAATACTAGCCACCCACCTACGTCTTGGTCTCCCTAGTGGTCTCTTTCTTTCTGGCTTTCCCACCAATATCCTATATGCATTCCTCTTCTTCCATATTCGTGCTACATTCCCTGGGCTCCTTGTCACCAAGGAATGGCGCGTCCTCAGGTTGCGGATGGAGGAGACGGCCTCCACATATGGAGGGTTGTTCCCAATATATTGAATAAGCTGTCACGGACAGCCGAAAAGGGATGGTCCTCCAGTTTGGGGTTGGGCGTGGCGCTAACAACTCCTCACCATAAAAAATAACCTTGTTACGAAATGTCATAAAGGGCGGTTAACTCGGACGGAACCTCGGGATGAGCGGCCTAAGCTAAGGAAAATGGACATGAGATTTGGTACACATAGTTACCAATGTGCCAATATTATATGTTAACTTCCCTTTCCGTAATGTGTGCCACATGTCAAGCCCATCAAACCCTCCGCCCATAGATACCAGAACAGCATTACATAAAATGTGAGTAAGAGGAGCCTTACCTTCTGGGGTGCGTTCACAACACCAGTGTTGTAGCCATGTTGGAATGCCGATCCGAGCGCCGCGGCGGCAATTGCGAAAACAAGGCGCCCGTTGAAACCCTGGAACAAAAGCAACAGTAGATCACTTATGTTTCCACCTGGAAAAGCCAGCAGTCGCTCAGCCAGTCAAGGCAATTCCCCGCCGTCCATGGAACCAGAGGCATCATGACCACGCTTACATGTACCGGCCCCCAGCCGAAGCCACATGAATCCAATCCATTCGCCCAATTTCTTTATGACAGATTTTAAGATTATGCGTCTACCTATGTCCAGATCTGCCCTTTCAGGTTTTCTGAGCTACATAATGTACGCCTTTCTCGCGGCACCCTTGCATGCTGAATGTCCTGCCCATCTCATTCTTTTTCGTGTCCGTTTCAGTTCCACAGAGAGTGACAAGTCCGAGGATGCGTGCATCAGGCAACCTCACTGTTGGTTCTCACCCGTGCTCAGAACACGGCCCAGCAGAGCCCTACAGTGGCGACGCTCGCAATTCTGATGCAAGGGGAGAAGGTACTGAGGTGCTGCGCATTCACTTGGCGACACGGCTTCTACACAACTGCGTTTGGGAGGTGCTCGGTTTGAGGCTCGGCCGGATATTCTAAGCGACTTTTTCGTCCTTTTCCTCAGTCACTCCAGGCAAATGGCGGGACACTACTTCGAGTAGACCAAGAATGTTTCCTTCCAGATCCCTTCCCATTCATAAATCATCCTACCACGCGGATCTGTATAACACTCGGTACTGCCAGCGTCGCAATGTGAACCACAACACCGACGTTTCGGCAGTTGGCTCTACCGCTTTCGGTCAGCAACGTCGCTACTAATATCAATCGAAACAATAAATAAGACTCCGTCAGTATTAGTGCCAGTCATGTGTGCCCAGTGATCGAACCTGGAACCACTTCTGTGTGACGCAGTTAGAAACTCCTCTTCGAATCGGATTTCGACTAAACGTTATTGTTTTCTGGAATGGGCCGCGTTCAGTCGTAATGACAGCTTTCCGAACACGCCCGCATTTCTTACTGCGATGCGGCAATGGGGTTCGCAAGGTAACGCGTACAAACGGTCGATAATGCGAGCCCCTACTTCTCAGTTCTCTCCTGCGCTGTCAATACCGTCACAACAAAGTCCGCAAACTGGGGCTCACGTCTCGTTTCTCTGACGAAAAAATGTAAAAAAATAATGTAAAGCTATCTATCCCTCTAGCAGGCCGTGGAGGCCCATAGGGTTGTGAGACGTCGAGGCTCCACATTTTTCTAGACAATCGGCTTACAGATGGCGGTGAGGTTGTCAGCTTTACGCGCCGACCGCCCTTTACCCCCAGGAAGATTCCTGGTACTCATTTCTGTTAGAGGCTGAGTCGACCCCAGTGCCATAGTGCGGATGGAAGATTAAGTCAATTAAAACATGTGATACCTTCGTCGGGAATCGATCCCGCGACCTTCCGGCTTGCAGCACAGTGCCTCAACCAACTACGGTACTCTAGACCTGCCAGTGTATAGAGAGCGCCTGCATAGCCACTCTAACTTTCACTGAACCCATAACAATTCCTCTGACGTGAGAAGGGGAGCTCAAGCTGTACAGTCTGAGCAGGAAAGCTGAGACAACTTCACCGCCACTTGGGAGGATAACATCAAAACAGATATCAATCAAATCAATAAGGTGTCAAGTTGTGGACTGGAGTGGACTGAACTGGCTCGGGACACGAATCACTGGCATACTTCTGTAAATATGGCGAGGAACCTTCGGCTTGCATAAAAGCAGACAATTTCTCGACTGTGTAAGATTTGAGGCTTTCACGGCGGTGACTATGAAGAAAGCAGTCTTCTGGGATTTGGCACCATGTATATGTGGTGTTAACCGACGTTTCGGAGGAACGTATTTCCAGTCTGCTTTACCGTTTCTCACGGTGTTGTCGCTTGCAGAATTCTTATACTTTTTCTTCTACCCTGAAGATGGGGGCGATACGTTCCTCCGAAACGTCGGTTAACACCACATATACACGGTGCCAAATCCCAGAAGACTGCTTTCTTCAATTTCTCGACTAGCTGAAGACCACCAAGTGGCACTCAGTCAAGTCTAAGTAACTGCACGGTGCCAGATCCCATTTCCGTCTGATCTGATAAATGGTTCATGGCCCTCGCAACAAAATCCTACTAGCGTAAATCATCTGGAGTCGGTTTAATCGCCTGAGGCTTGCATGTCTTACCTCAGAGGGGAAACACAGTACGTCGCCGCTACAAAGCCCAGCCGGTTAATGCTGTTTATTGTGAGAACCATACGGAACACGCGAACACACTGCGTGGGCAGAATTCGGAGTTTCTCCATGACAGTTAGCACTAACTTCGCCGACAAGCGGCGGTCGCTCAGTCGGTATAGTTCGCTTGCGGACTAGATCCACGGGGCTTGTTTGTTTGTTTGTTTGTTTTTTGTATAGCAGGCGGTAGGCACATACACAGTTATCACGGGGTTTAAAGGATTAACACAGCCTTCAGTAGTCCTCCCCAATGACATCGAGTCCTGTAATTCCATCAGCAGGCACAGGCAATGTTATTGGGCCTTACTGCGTTTGATGCAAGAGGGCTCAGGTTCAAAACAGGCAGAGGTTTGTTCCTGTTTCAAATTGATTTAGCCAAACCTCCAGTAGTACAGACTGCATATGCGCCCTTTTGAGCCCCAAGCTCACATAAATACGTACGTTATTTAAAAACTGATTTCCTAGGCTGCAGAAAATACCGAATGCTGAACCGACTAAAGCTGTGCAGGGACATAAGCACTGTTTATTGCGAGAATCTGCGGGCAAAACGGAGGGCACTTGTTGAAGGGGTTAATTTCTTCAGCTGTTATGATGACGCATATATTTCCCACTATATTACTTTCATGTCGACAGTGCGTCAGTACTACAAGTTCTTACGTCACACGTGCAGCACGAAGTTACGAAATCCCCAGCGTGACGAACGCATGACATGAGCCCAGTTCCTGACGCAACATCCAGACTGAGTTGCTGAGCCTATACGTGAGTTACTTTCCTTCAGGATTTTCTATTAAAACTTTGCATGCATGTCCCTTCTAATCTCATTTGTGCTACATGTCCTGTCCATCTCCTCTTCCATGATTTGATCACCCTAATAATAATATTCGGTGAAGAGAATAAATAATGAAGTCAGCCATTAAGCATTTTTCTCTAGCCTCGCCACTTTATCCCTCTCAGGTCCAAACACTCTTCAACACCCTCAGCGTCCAGACACACCCAACAGATGCAGTATGGCAATCTTACATCTGCACATCGCGCACACAGACTGGGCCGGACGGCTACGAAATCCCCCCCCATCAAACAGATGGCCACTGGACGCTAACCTGCGCCAGATCAATCCAGTTCACAATCACACACTCTCATACCACAGCGAACCCTCACTAATTACGACCTTATGATCACACTGCGGCCAGCTAAAATGTCTTCAAGACTGATGCCAAAACTCACACTTTATTTTATGAGATTAAATCTAAGTTCAAAAATACATCTGTATTGCCTAAAGACACACGTGAATTCCATTTTATAAAACTCCCTGAAAATATCTTCAGCAGCGCTTCTACAACTCGCACTTCCACCAATATGGACCTGAGTTCGCGCCCAATTAATCCGAATTAACGAGGTCTCACTGCACTTTTACATCTAAGCATAGGCGTTCAGGTTTTAATACCGAATGTCTGTACATATTTTTCTCCTGTAACGTGCATACTACGTGGCCTGCCCATCTCATCTCCTTTGATATAATCACCGCATAATATTTGGTGATCGATAGAAAATTACTAAGTCCCTCATTAAGCAGACAGTTCCTTCCGCTTTCTGACAGCAACAATAACAACAATAACAGTACCGGCAACAATAATCACAATCACTGCTGGGTCCACACATTTTCCTTGCACCCCGATTGATGAACGCACTTGCAGTCACCCCGAACCCACTAACCCTTAGAAGGCTGAATTTATTCGAAATAATAATATATACAAAGGAAGAGAACGCGACGTTGCACATACGTGTACATGGCAAAAAAAGTGGACAGCAAAGTCACATTTACACAGTGCAACAGGATGCTCCAATTTAATATTATAAGAAATCAGTCCGTACCCCACAGAAAACATTACGTCTCCGCTACAAAGCCCAACCGGTTAATGCTGTTTGGTGAAGTAATCGCCGTTTACTGTGAGAACACTACGGAACACACAGATACACTCTGTGGGCAGAATGCAGTTTTAGTGTGTTAAAGTGGGTGGTACATATGGTAACCACTAGGCTTTAAGCTCTTAATACGCACTTAACTAGCTCGTCTGGGCAGAGGCGTAATTACGGGGTGACATCCCTGCTTTCTGTCCCCGCAAAAATAATCTAGGCCCTGACGTGGCAGATTTTGAATAAATCTGGCTCTACGGGATGTTTTCTTCTGCCGCACGTACACGGCACACAACGGTGGCGCTGTACCCTGTTTGAGAACGTAGAAAACACTACTTCGCGGAGCCCCAGGGTAGCCCATATGGAAGTAAGGGGTACTGCGGCATATGCTGCCCGCCTGACGCGACGAGACACAAGACAACACAACAATGTAACAGAGTTCCAGTGTGTGCAATCTACTCACGGATCTCTTGAAGTACGGCATGTCTGGCTCGCTCCCGCTCCAACTCAGATCACGCATTGCCCACGGCCCCCCTCAGCCGCGTGTTATGCGTTCCCTGCTTAAAGCAGAGGGGGGCTCGGCGACAAACCGACACTTCCTATTGGAGGAAGATGGAGGTGTGCGCTGTGGCATCCTGTCATTGGCTAGAAGCGGCGAGCGCGCCTCGTATTAGTACACAGCAAGCGCCGTTATCGCCTGGCAGCGCACCAACCTTTTAATTATTTTACGACCAAGCAGTGTTTCCTACAAAGAAGCAAGTCACCAGTCTGGAAGACTGTGAACCAAATTAGAACGCTGCGGCTCTCAGCGCCGTGTCGAGGCGCGGTCTGCCTTTACTTCAATGAGAGAAATGCCAGGACAACGCCTCAAATTACGTCACGTCTGCACCTT